TTTTTTTAGCAGTTAGTATTATTAGTCATTATTATTATTATTGCTATTATTATTGTTTTTGTTCTCATTCTCATAAATTTGATTTTTGTCACTGTTGTTATTGTCTTGTGATTAATATTGTCTTCATTATTCTTATTGCCTTTTTATACATTATTATTGTCATATTCCAGTTGTTATTGTTGCTGATATTATCATTGTAATTTTTTCATTGTCATTATTTTTTCATAGTCATTATCATTATCATTGTTACTGTTATCACCATCACCATCATCACCATCACCATCACCACCATCATCACCACCATCATCATCACCATCACCACCATCATCACCACCATCATCACCACCATTATCACCATCATCATCACTATCATCATTATCACCATCATCACTATCACCATCACTATCACCAGCACCATCATCACTATCACCAGCATCACCATCATCAAAATCACCAGCATTATCACCATCACCAGCATCACCATCACCATCAAATTATTATTTTCTGTACTATAGAATCATTATGGTGATAAAATCAATATCTCTGTTTTTCTTTTCTGTGATGTGTGTGTGCGCATGAGCAATTTGGAGTAGCCTAAACCCATTAGTGTCTAATCAGCTCTTATCTTTGTCTGGTACAGTTTCCTTATACTTTGATATCACAAGTAAAATGCATACTTGGTGATTATAATATCCAGTCCACAGTAAGGGGATAGGTTACATTCTAGGACAATATATACATGTATCTTGAGAGTATACTTATGGATGGATTTTGTTGCAAACTCGGAATAAGGATCCGGGAGTTTATATTTTCTGCCCACAAGTAGGGTGTCAGTTGTGTACGCAATATCTTTAATGATGATTATATCTTGTATACAGATAATATCATTGATGAATAACAAACTTCATCTTTGTCAGTATCGTGTTGCAAGGGTGCTTGAAGTGACAAACATTTCCAACACCCGTTCCCATGATCGTGCACTGTCCTTAGTTGTAAAGTCAGAAAGTGATGAATGTTCTTAGATATTTGATATGAAGTATTACCCATTGCCACTGGGGATGACTTGTATGCATATACATGTTGACTGTTATTTCAGTTTGTTAAATTTTGTGTATACATGACAGCTCCAGAAGAACTTTTGTCATCAAGTAGTCATTTACTAGTCCAATGTATCTCCTGTTTTCTGTTTCCCTTTATTTCTAGAAAGCCTTTTTTGTTTTTCTTTATTAATTTTAGTATTAAATGACATAATAATTATGTCAGTATAAAACAGTATCGGTATTAAAAGCATTAGAAAACAGGAATAATAGGAAATCAGATGCGATCACAGAGGGCCATCTAATTGACTGCTGAGTGCTTGTGGAGTCATCTATGTATAAACAAAATTTTCAAAACAAAACTGCAGCAGACAGTGTATGTTTACACTGTACACATACACTGTATACACTATACATACCTTTTTACATTTCCACATTTAAAGGCCTCTTGGTGGCTACATATCACAAAATTAACATGTTTTGCTTGACTACAATTCAGTATTTGATATATGTAAATAGTCCATGTAGTTAGGGCTTCAAATAAGAAAATTAGACCAGTTGTTTAACCCTTTCACTGCAGAGTTACAATTCAAGGTCGTCTCAGTATTGATATCACTTATCCTCAAAGAATGGAATTTGTGGTTTCTGCTTCTGCAACAGTTTTATCCTTTTTTTTTCTTAGTTCATCAATTGATTTATTAGAAATATAATTTTGTGTAAATGATGTAAGAAAGTCACGAGGGTGTGAGGACTCGTACCATAATGACTTCTGTGATTTCTCTTATTGAAAAGGATTTTCTCTTGGCATATTGTGTCTAGTAATCAGATTTCATCGATTTTCTTGTAGCATCTCAGGTACAAAATACCTCCATCTTGGTGCAGTTTCAGGCCCATATACTTGTGACTTATCTGGGTATTGATGATACCCAATCTCCTTTGGTCGCGGAGCTCTTGATGAAGTCTCGGGATCTTTTCTCTTTCCGTCTAGGAATGGATCTTTGGTGGCTTTAAGGTTAAAGGGGTTGGTATCTTCATTTTGATCACAATATGCAAATGTGAATTATATTGGAAGAATTGCAAATTAGATTATGGTCACTGATCTTTTGTCACTAGAAGTTTGTAGTTTTAAAGAATATGCTGTGGGAAGTTGTTCTGTCAACATTAACAGAAACCTAGATTAGGCCTTTTTTTCTGTTTCAGTGAAAATCAATATGAAAATATTGATTCACAATGGTCTGTCACTGCAAATGTGCATATTCAGAATAAAGAATCAAGGAAACCCAGCATAATAGCTTGTTGCTAAATCTGTATGTAATTGGCAGAAAATATATCTTGAGACAGACAGGGTAGGCTTTCCCAAAACGACCCGTTTTATCTCCATACTCCCTACTGTCTCCTTGACATCTGGATTTATGACAAGGACTGGATCTAGCAGAAAGTGATGTATCAGCATGGCCTGCCACATTTCAACCATTTAAGTCAGTAATGACTCCTGTTCTTTATATCAGGATGTGCTTAGTTATAGATTATTCTTATCAACAGGCGGCAAGCTACACAGTGAACAAGTAGTTTCCTCGTAGTTTTCTCGCCTGTGATGTGCCCGCTGATCATGCCTCCTTGTGTGGACAGACCTTAATTACTTTGTAAATGTCTCAAATTCTATGATGTATCATAAACACAGGCTGTATGAGAGCAAGTTTGATTGTGTTATTGTGATTGTAGTCATACAGAATACTAGAGCTGTATTTGCAATTACCTGTGAAGTTACAGTAGTTCATTTTTTTATGTTTGTCGAATGTATATGAACAGAATTAATCTTGAAGAGCGGAAGTTATTGCTGGTGAGGTGGTGGAGATAATGGCACTGATAGACCAGTTAGGATGAGGAAAATATTTTCATTGTACAATGAAAATGATATTTTTTTGATTTTTAATAACAGCACATGGTAAATAGATGTCAGTAAGGTTTAGGAAAAATATGGCTTGTGTTTGTATTGTAGTATAGATTCTTTTAGATCTAAAATGGCATTGTAAAGATTAAGATGAAAGTTGTATACAGTGCCTCCTGATAACAGCAGTGATGCCGTGTGTGCTGGTGGGAGGCACTTGGCAAGGCCAAGTATTTGTGCCTTGTAGTTTTTGATACCAGTAACATCTTATTTTGCTGACTTTGCTTTGGAAAAAATGCTTTCCAAACACTTGTTCACCTGTTTGACTCATTGAGGAGATTAAAGCCCCTCAGAAGTAGAAATAAGATTTTTTTTGCAGCCTTTCCTTTCAAAATTTGTGGGTGCAACCAGAAGTGTTGAAATTAGGGTTCTTGCGTTCCCTGTGCTGGTGGTAATTCTTACTTGAAGTGGGTGACTTCGAGAAGCCCAGTATTTTATGACTTTCACAATGGATGCCACAAGTTATTTGATTAATTTCTTTATTTTTAATGCAAAATTATGATTTGTAAATAGTATAAAGAAATTGGAAGCTGCTTTCATTGCTGCTGTTACTGTTAGCAATGGGGTACTAAGGAAACCTTGTGTACACATATTTGTTAATAATCATAAATATTCATGAGAGGAAAACATAAGACATGGCATTTCTTTTAATGTGCCTCCTTTGGGATGATTTATTTATTTATACATATATTTATTTACTTGTTTATTTTTATTTATTTATTTTTTATTTCATTATTTATTTATTTTGTGTATATATGAAGAAACTCAAAAGAAATAAACCTATTGAACACAGTGTATTGTTCATTCTTTATTTCACAGTTTTCAAAAGGGAGAAAACACTTATATTTTTGCAAAGAAAAGAGACTGTTGCCTGTTTTTTTGTTCTGAAGCAAGAAAGTGTGGTTATGGTTATGACTATTTATTTAAGAGATCCAAAATGAAAGATCTGAAATACACTGAAAAGAATGAAAGTCACTGAAACAACGCACACTGGGTGTCATTGGCTTAAACCTAATTGCAGAATCACTCTTGTAAACATCCATATGGAAGGTAGATGACGTCATGTTCTAAGTTTGTTGGTTTTGCTGCCCGTTGCTGGTGGATGCAGCATACGTAGACCTTACGTTCACAGGATAAGGGTGGTAACATATACTGTGCTTTGTTAGTTCTGTGTTAGCTTATGTTTGTTTCAAAATCCTTTATCAAAATAGGATGAATTAGCACTACTCATTTGTTACTTATTTTATTCAACTGGGGTTTACAGCTTCTTTTACTGATGTTGACTCGAGTACAGACGGCCATGAACCACGCGTTGACGATCTTTAGTATGCATTAGATCTCGGCGCTCAATAGAAACTTTACTTCATAATGTACTATAAAGATGTAGAGTTTTGCATTATTTGAATCGTGTGTTTAAAATGCCTTGGAAGTTAATTGGTTATGAGATATAGCTAATCAAATAGCTAATGCAGTGTGAATACATTATAAAGAGCCTTTATTTTAACTGTTGTAAGAAATAATAGCCATTTTGTTACTCCCTGTTGGGGCGTTCAGAAAATTATAAGAGATACATGATTGACACCAACCTTTCTTAATTAAATTTGTCGGATAGATCAAATGAAGTAATGATTTAGATTTTCTACTAAGGGCTTTTATAATGTTTAAAAAAGAAAAGAAACGGAAAAAAGTTGAGGACCACTAATTGTTTGCAATTAAAGTCAATTTGCTAAATTTGAAATCGTTTTTTGGGTATTTTATCTTTTATGAGAATTTTACCATTTCCACAGGCATTTGTGCTTGTGGGTTAACACACCTTCACTTGTATTTACAATCACACACATGAATATATGCAGAGGAAGATGTATAAAGATGCAGTGGGTGAAAAAATTTGAACATGAAGAGCTGTTTGGAAGAGAGACGGCAATGGCGGATTGATTGATTTATTGATAATATTTGTCTTTGAGATATTGTGTGTATATTCCCTGTTTACTTATTTAATTTCTTTGTCTTTCCAGGTATGGAGGTGTAAGAAGTGTTACCCACTATTCATTTGGTTCCAACAGTAAATCCTTGATCATGAAAATGGTTTTGTCACAGCGTCAAAGAGAGGAACTGTAAGTTGACACAGATATCCTTAGGGAGGGGGAGGGAGGGGGAGAGGGAGAGGGAGAGGGAGAGGGAGAGGGAGAGGGAGAGGGAGAGGGAGAGGGAGAGGGAGAGGGAGAGGGAGAGGGAGAGGGAGAGGGGGAGGGGGAGGGGGAGGAAAAAAGGAAAAGCAGAGATCAAAGGGAATGGAAGGGAGGGGGGAGACAGAAGGAAGCAAGAGTTGACAGTAAGGGTTGCCTGCTAGTCCAAGGCTAGTGTAATCAAGTGAAGGACAGGCAGCTTTTGTGTATGGCTTTTACCCTCCCAGGTCAAGTTTGGACTTCAGAATTTTCTCGTTAGAAATACAAAAATTGATTTATAAGTTAACAAATAAATCTCAAATATGTTATATCTTTGTGAGCTTATTTGTTGCAGAAAGTGTGCTCAGGTTCGTGACCTTTATAACGATTATAGTAATAAGCAGTCCATTTACCCTCGTCCATTTAATTACAACCCCTCCTTAAACGCTTACATTTTGATGAGAAGAGTTTGATTTAATCAGTGCATAGCTACTAAGTATGATATTGATATGTAAACAATTGTACATCAAAGTATTTAAATCACAGTAAATAATTAATTCAACCCTGATAATTGTGTTTGTATTTATTAGGGGGGAGGGGATTTGCCAAGAATGTACTTGTGGAGGCATGGGACTTCAAAAGGATGCCTAGGCCTACCAGACAAGTGGAAATTTTCCTTACTGTCAAGCCCAGGGGTGAGAAGGAAGGAAGGAAGGAAGGAAGGAAGGAAGGAAGGAAGGAAGGAAGGAAGGAAGGAAGGAAGGAAGGAAGGAGAGACAGATACAGAGATAGGGGGAGGGAGGGAGGGAGGGAGGCGGGGAGAATGGGGAATGGAAAACAAGACTTTGGGAGGACATGCCATGAGAGGGAAGGGATTGAGAGAAATAGATAAGGGGGAAGGGGAAAATGGAAGGAAAGATTAGGGAGATTGAGTGGAAAGAAAGAAACGTTTGAATAAGAGAGTTAGTTGTAAAGAAACAGTGGAGTGTGTAAATTGTGATTGACAGATGAATGGAAGAAAGAGGAAGAGGAAAGGACAAATAGAGAGGGGGAGGGAGAGGTAGGAATGATAGATGGAGAGAGAAATGGGTGATCATGGGTAAAAAGGGAAGAGTTATACACCGATGAACATCAGCCTGTGGATAAGCTTAGAAATTTGTGATGTTACATGAAAGGACAAACATACTAGAAGTTTATTTTTTGATTACTAGAATTGATGATATCAGGTTGAAAGCTAGAAATCAATGGTCCTGAATTTTCTGTGCCCCTGCAGTTTTACCTTTTTTACCAATGTTGAATGAGAGAAAGTGAGATATGATTGGATTAGAGGGATGGAGGGAAATGGGTGAAGAGCATGTTGGAAGGGAAACAAAAAGAGAAAATCATTAGTGTGTTTGAAGTAAATCTTAAACACTGAATGCACTTACAGGTGATATGTATTTTCAATACTGGAATTTCACCATAGAGAAAATCTCAACTTATATTTGTAAACAAACCACTCGTGTTTAATGATTTTATGTTTTCCTTTTAGCAATAAGGCCATAGCTGACTACTTGTGCAGCAATGGCTACATGGATGCCTTGGAAGCCTTCAAGGCTGAAGCAGACATGCCTGGGGAGATCGAACGGAAATATGCTGGTCTCTTGGAGAAAAAGTGGACCTCAGTCATCAGGCTCCAGAAAAAGGTATGCCCTAGACTGGTCTTTATTTTCAGACCTTTTCAATTTGCATACACTGGTCATATTATTGAAAATATTGGATTATAAATATGTTTTCTTGAATAGGTTATGGAACTTGAGGTAAAGTTAAATGAGGCGGAGCGTGAATATATCGCTGGCGCGCCCACTCGAGACAAGCGATCTCCCGCAGAATGGATTCCAAGACCTCCCGAGAAGTATTGCCTCTCTGGGCACAGGGCTCCAGTTACTAGGGTATGATATTTCGTCTCTCTTGAGTAATTTGGGATAATGAGTTTGTGGTGTGTTTAATGTGATTAATGCCTTTTAATTTTCTTCTATCCCTCTAAGTGGTCTGATTTATTTTCAGGTAATTTTCCACCCTTTGTATTCTGTGATGGTATCTTCAAGTGAGGATGGAACTATTAAAGTTTGGGATTATGAGACAGGAGACTATGAAAAGACATTAAAAGGTCACACTGACAGTGTTCAAGATATTGCTTTTGATCACACTGGCAAATTCCTTGGTAAGGAAACTGTTTGTTTTAAGTGTAGCCTTTGTAGTCATGGAGTATCCTTGAAAAAAAAAAAAACTTTCAGTGTTTTTCAAATGCATTATTCTTCCATATTCATTTTTATCTTCTTCTTTTTTTGACAGATAAGCTTTATTTATATTGTTTAAAATTCTACTGATCCCAAGGTTTTTTATAATTATTTAGATATTCCTTATTGATTTCCATATAGTAAGATTGTCAGCTTTCTGATGTTTTAGCCAGGCTTGTGGAAAAAACAATATAAACAAATTGTGATAAATGATAAGCAAACAGAATGTCTTTGACTTGAGGCCTCTTTCTTGTATTATATAAATAACCAGGTTTTCCCCAGTGTCTAAGATCTTGCTTTTCTTTCGGACACCAGTCTCCTGTAGCGCTGATATGTCAATCAAGTTGTGGGACTTCACATCATACGAGTGTGTCAAGACGATGCATGGCCACGACCACAATGTATCCTCAGTCACCTTCATGCCCTCGGGGGATTACTTACTCAGTTCCTCCAGAGACAAGACCATCAAGATGTGGGAGGTTGCTACAGGGTGAGTGCGTTTTGATTAAAGGAGATGATCTGTGTGTGATTTAGTTTTATCCATGATTGTAAAAACACTTTTTTTTTTTTTTTCCATGTGTGTGATTATGCAGGTATAATGATATGGTAGAATATCTTTTCCCTCAAAAGTAAAATGCAAATTAATTCTGCATGTGAATAGAGCTTGTGTGTTTGTCAACAATGTGTTGTAATCTTGGCAGATACTGCGTGAAGACCTTCACAGGCCACCGGGAGTGGGTGAGGATGGTACGGGTGTGTAGTGATGGCTCCCTTATTGCTTCCTGCTCCAATGACCAGACAGTGCGCGTGTGGCTAACAGCAACAAAGGAGTGTAAAGTAAGTTTCCTTTTCAATTTTTTTGGGAATCTTTTTTTCTTTCTTTTTTCTTGTCTCCTCTTTATATATCTAATCTTTTCTATCTTTCTTTGAATGAGAGTCAGGATCCTAAGATTCATTTGAAATGTCAAGCGTATGTGTACCTTTTCCAAATAGGAGAATAAAACAAAGATTAGCAGTTTGATGTCTCTTTTCCAATGGTGTATTTCAAAGGAGGATATTGATAATCTATCAATAACTTGGAATATAATCTGGATTTTTACCCAACAGGCTGAACTACGAGAACACGACCATGTGGTTGAGTGCATTGCGTGGTGTGAGGGCAGCGCGTGCACTTCTGTTAATGAAGCTGTTGCAACAGATAACCGTAAACCTAATTATAAGGGCCCATTCTTGATTTCAGGGTCAAGAGATAAAACAATTAAGGTTAGTTTGCGAAAAGGATGTGAATGTTATTTGATGTTGTATCCCTGGGTATATGTTATTTCTTAAAGGTATAAAGATACTATTGCAAATATCTAAAGCTAAGGTAGATTGAAAGACTATCAAAAAATAAATGATTAGATGCTTTCCAGTTATATAAATGTGTACATATTTATTATATAAATTCATATAAACTAACCTAATATTTTATCTTGTATTGCAGTTTGCAGCTTATTGTTATTTTTTTCTTGCAAATATTACCAGAAGCATTGCAAATTTCAACAGCAGGCATATTTCCTATACAATACTCTGAATTTACATGTTTACAAGATTAAGACGGGGAAAATTCTAGAGCTTGCTTTTGATATAATTAATTATTAATGGAGCCCCTCAGTTTTCTTTTATGTCTACATCAATTAATAGTTACCTTAACTCTGTCCTTTGTACCTCAGATATGGGATGTTGGCGTAGGACTTTGCCTCTTCACTCTGGTTGGTCATGACAACTGGGTGCGCGGTCTCCTGGTGCACCCAGGAGGGAAGTATATCCTCTCGGCCTCAGATGACAAAACTGTACGCATGTGGGACATAAAGAACAAACGATGCCAAAAAACTCTGGACGCTCACTCCCATTTCTGTACATCATTAGGTAATTATTTTGAGCTTAAGTTGCTGATAAATTTCCTTTTTTTTTTTTTTTTTATTTGCATTAGAGGGTGGAAAAGCTTGTACATGTCATCAACCCTGTGAATTGAACTCCTTTCAGATATGCACCGGAGTGCCCCTTATGTGATCACGGGCAGTGTGGACCAGACGATCAAGGTGTGGGAGTGCCGCTAATGATGGAATTGAAGGAGCCATGCCCCACCTCCCCCTCCCGCCAGCTTGCTGGTCACCCCTTCTCCCTACTGCATGCTGCCATCGCTGCTACAGATGCCGATGTTGCTGCTCCCCAGGTTGCTTCTACTCCCACTCTTCTGACACCTGAGCTGCTGTCTATATTACACCCATCTGAGGACCTTCCACACCCTATGTTGATTCCTTGTTTTTCTCACATGGGTGGTAGGTGCAGTATATTTCCCCTTGGTAAAAAAAAAAAAAAGGACTGATCCAGTGTAGCCAGTAGCCAGTGTGCAGTGCGAGACAAGTGGCACAATATGTGTGGGAGGAGAAAGCCCCCTAAGTAATTTATTATTTTAATTTATTATTAATACTGATGTAATAATACGAGCACCAAACCCTTTGCGGCACTTTGGGTACGGTTGCTGATGGAACGGAGGAAGTTGTAAGACGTGTCCAGGGTGGGTATAGAGCACCTGTATATAGATGCTTTTTGTATTGCCTCTTTATCATGCACTGATGGTGGAGGCAGTAAGCTGAAGGAAGGGTGGCAAGTATAGAGTGATGTGTTGCTGATCGTTTGTTGTTTTACGCCAAAGAAGAGAAAGAGGTGTTTCTTCAAAAAACCAGTGAATATATTAATGAAGTTCACTTCTGTATCAGAACAGATGATACCAGTGATGATTCATTCCCAGGTGTTCAAAAACAAAACTTGGCTGATCATGGATTATTATTTACAATTTGTAAATATTCGGTAGGAGTAAATAGTTAACAACTATAAAAATTTTTTGGGAGATCATGGAACTGCAACGAAGGTAGTGGGTACAGTCAAGGGTTAATGCGGACATGCAACTGTCTCTTCTCATATTTAGACATGGCAGACTGGGGTTACAGGCTTAAACTGTGAAAGAAGTTTTTCATGCGAGTCATATGCTAGATTTTATTATTGATATTGAATAGTGTTCTACCTGTCAGTAGGGACAGAAAAGGTGAAAGTTTAGATTGATTATTATTTATTTACTTGAATGACAGAGAACTGTCTACAAAGTTTAAAAGGAAACTCGGGTCTGTCAATCTATTATTATATGAGATTTCCACGTGTGATCAGTGAATACTGGAGTACAGGAGAGGCTAGAACAGGTGGTCTGGTGCTACATTAGTGTTTACCTGCTTCGTGTGGCTCACTTAAGGTGTCAGGGTCTCTAACATCCTATAGTTGACTTTCATTGAAGCAGGTTGAAATTTTTACTTTGGTTGTGTCTTGTGTCCTGCTAGGCTTCAGCACCCAGCTCCTCAAAAACATCCCTGTAGCTGGTTTGTGCTTCAATGTATTCTTTCTTTACATTTTCCCTCATACTTGCCTTTTCTGCATTTCATGACAAATCTTTAGCAGTCAAAATGTTTATGACCTGAGGCACAAATGTGCCTTTTTGTATTACTAACATGCTGTGATTACCTTATATAGTCTTTACATTTACAGAGCTTTAGTATATTTTTTCTATTTTTGTACTATTTAACAAAACCATTTGTTTTACTAGCACTGAGCTTCAGTTACGATCAATTGTGATTCCTTGAATGATTGCCTAGGAACTGGATATTTATCCTTGGAACACAAAGCGAGACCTGGTGGGCAGCCTCAGGGCAAGGGACAGCCTAGTAATTGATAGTGCTAATGATAGCATTTGACAGTGATTCAGTGACCAAACCTGCCCTGGAAAAAGCCTTAACCTGCACTGCAGATAGGGATCATTGCATGAAGCATACCTTTTACATACCAGACTAGTTGAGTAAGAGTGTAGTTGATGCTGGCTTTGCGATATATGACAACTAGAAGTGGCTGCCGTGGTGGCTGACTTGACTACACCAATGTTGCATAATAATTTTGTCATGTCAAACCATGGAAGGCTTGGCAGTTGTGTGTGTATGCATTAGTCATTCACATGTGTATACCAGTGTAGATCTGAAGCATAAGTGATTCTGTCATTACTTGGCAGCAGAGGTGATTGTCAGGTTTTTGCTGCTGTAGTCATCAGATGCCCGCTGACTGTTGTTCATCGTTTGACTCCTGCTCCTCTCACTAGTGCATAGCCAAATAGATTGTAAGTGCATTTGGTGCAGATAATTACTTTATTATCTTTATTATTATTATTATTATTATTGCAAATATTGTTTTTTTTATTGTTATCATTATCTTTATCAATATTATGAATATAATTATTATTGTTATTGTTATTTTTATTGCCATGAATATTAAAAGAATTATTATTGTTATTATAGATATTATTATTGTGATAAGGTAATACATCAGTATCATAATTTTTTTTTTTGTATAGAATTTATTGATCATGATTATATTATAAAATTTCTTAATTATCTTTTAATATTAGATATTTATCTTCACCTGCTAAGAGTGAAATTGCAAATATTTCTCAAAGGGATAGAGGGTTGAAGATGCAAAGAACCTGCTGGAGAATTTGGGGCACGGGACAGCTGACGCTTTCTCCTAACATTTGTGTACTTAGTGACAGCAAACTGTAGGACGGGTCTGACCCGAATGCCTTGCTCGATGCCGCTATTTGTAAAGGTAATTTGGTGTCCGACCTTCCTTAACCCATCTAGGCCAGACATGTCTAAGCAGTATATCCGGCAGCATTGTCTTTCATCAAGCAGACCACTGGCTTAACACCATGTTATTAGTTGCTGCTTCATTATTGATTCATGTTCACATTCCATAGATGGTGGTGAGCATTTGCTGTTCACCCTTAAGGGTAGAGAATTGACTTTAAATACAGTAGGATGTTTAATCGTTTTTTTAATTGAGTGCAAGATTTTAGCTTGGCCATAAAAATTTGTCTGTTTCTGAAAGGTAATGCTTGCTGACATATATTATATATGAAATAACTAACCCAACTTTTGTCACCATATAGTCACATACACACACTAATAACGTATCTTTGATGTTCATAATTATAACTTTGATGATAATAATCAGTGAGTCCATGTATCTTATTTATTGTTTCCATAACCATCTACGCTGGTAAGACAACTTGCCTGTAAAATGAGAGTGTAAAGCAAAGCAAAGCAAAGGAATTTGCTCTTTGGTCTGACGTTAACGATATCGCCAATGGTGTCTTCGGCATTTTTCCAATAAAGTTAAATTTTCTTTTTCTAAAAAATTAACATTATTGAAAACTTTTCCAAGTCTCCCTGTGATATCGCTCTTGCCTCGTACCATCCAGAGTACACAGCCAGGGCAACACCAGTCAGGATATGGAGAACAAACTAGTAATGATAGCGCAAAAACATGCAAAAGTCCTTCAATGTAACTATGTTAACCCCTTGAACAGACTGACTTGGGATCACCTTTACTGCTCATCCCTCCTCGAATTCCATAGTATTGTAGTTCTCCCTTTAGTCAGGCAAGATGATAGGCTTTGACAATAGACTTCTCTTAAGCATAACTCTTTAGATATTTTCCTTTGGTGACTTGATCTGTGGATTTGGGATAGACAAAAAAAAATGATGATGATGAAACAGGTAGAAAAGACAAAGAAATGTTTGTAGACCAGGAAGAGAAGGAATGGAAGAACCGAGAACATTGATAACCAAGAACCCTGCCTAAATCATCAGATCCTGTCCCATGTTGAAGTTACTTTCTCGTTATCCACCAGCAGTAAAATATCAGCTGAAACGCTCGTCACCACAAGAGGAGCTGGCCAGCAAAATCCTCCGAGCAGCTTTCAGGCACAGATTTTGAGTTCACTTCTATTTCAGGTGGTCAGGGCTTCTGCTCTTGCTAGGTTAGAGAGACGTCTCACCCTGAATGTGTACAGGCACCCTGATTGAGCACACAAAGCTAAATTGTTTTAGTTAGCCATTGTGTATAATACTAAAGAAAAATAAAATAAAATAAAAAAAAAACGGTGAACTATAAGTTTTCCCAGTATGCCCATTAAAATTGATGTCTAACATTGTCTTTTAGTGATCCATTTGATCAATTAGTCAAGTGTGTCAGTTGCGTCTCGTCATTACGATTCTGGGTTTGGGATTGATTGTTCTTTTTCATTTTTTCCATTTTTTTTTCATTATTAGTTTCCTTTTTTATATATATATATTTTTTTAGTAAGTGATCAGTGTCCAGTGTTTTAACTTCTGTTTGTTATAAAGAATGTATTTTAAATCCTTTAGCCCTACTGAAAAATGCCACTCAACATTTGTGAGGATCTTTGAATGATTTGCATGACAAAGTTTTATTTTGCAGCTTTGTTGCTTTTTTTTTTCTATCAATCTTATTTTTTGTATATTAGTGTTGGTTGCATGTTTTTGCCTCCTTTGTGTGACAATAGGAGAAGGTCTACTTCATTTCTTTGTGAAAAAATAAGCAAAAATATAATAAAGTTGTGGGACAGTGAAAAATGTTTAGTTTTATCAGAGAGATTGTCATATATATATATATTAATAGGAACTTGAATGTCAAACTTGTATATGAGATGTTATGAGCACCATGAAATGCTTTTCTTTTTATTTTTATTATTATTGACAAATTATCAAACAGGGCAGCTCTGATTTCAAAACTAATTAAAAATATCTTCATAAGCATTATATTTTGTTTTTTCTTTGAAGTTCCATGGGGCTTAATATGCTTTGTATGAGTTTGTTATTGCTCTCCAGTATGTAAATAATTAACTTCCTCTCTTCTGTACATTTATTCTGTAAACGTAAGTAACAGTAAATAAACTCGATGTACACAACAAA